AAGGAAGGAAGGAAGGAAGGAAGGAAGGAAGGAAGGAAGGAAGGAAGGAAGGGAGGGTAACTTTCTTTGTCAGGTGGAGAAACCTGACAAACACTACCTCAGCCAGGTGATCAAGGTCAACTCCACCACGATAAGTCATGTTCATAGTACGTACCCTTGATAAGATGTGATAAGAATGGCCCATCACCTCTGTGGTCTTTCTCCTGAAAACCCATAATCCCAGTCTAATCATGAGAAAAGCATCACACAATCCCAGTTGAAGGCCATTCTACAAAATACCTGACCAGTGCTCCTCAGAACTGTCAAGGTCATCAGAAACGAGGAAAGTCTGAGAAACTGTCACGGTCTACAGGAATCTACAGAGACACTGTGACTAAATGTACTGTGGTATCCCGGATGCAATTCTGGTCAGAAAAAGGACACTAAGTAAAAACTAAGGAAATATAAATACAGTCTGAATTTTATTAATAATAATATATTCATATTGGTTCACTAATTATAACAAATGTGTTAAGAAAAAATATCCAAAACTTGTAAATAAGGCACACACAAAATTACCAAGTGCCCCGGCAGAGATATTTTAGACCATTGGCTAATAACCCCACCTATGGGTCATCTAGGGGAAGTCACTTCGTTTGACATACTATTTCCTATGGATGGGGGCCCTGGCTCTGTAAAGTGAAGAGATTAACCTGTAGAAGATGGATAAATAGCAAATTATTTTTGTCTAGTTGAGAAAAAAGTTATTATTTCATTGCCGGGCAGTTACGATTTTATTGCCAGTTGATACTTTTTGTATCAACTTTGCACATTTATTCCAGCATCTTTTTCCCGCTGACTGTCAATAATGGTTTTCACTTCTTCCTTTGATCCATCCTGCTGGTTCACTCATTAAGTAGTTAAATAAATCTTGGTACTCACTTTATATTTGTATTTGTCAAGTTTAGCTCTGTGCAAATTTTACTTTGACAAATAATAGTGTACCATATGCACTGTTCTATCCCTTGGCTATTTTTCACTCGAACATCTGGAAGATAGTTTCATATCAGAACATAAAGAGCTTCCTTACTCCTGTTTTATCACTGTACAGAATACACAGTGAGAGTGTACAGTAACTACACCCGTAATCGATTTAGCTAGTCCCCTGTAGACACTTGGGTTGTTTCCACTCTTTCGCTGTTGCAAACAATGTTGTATGAATACCTGCTACACAGGATGACAGGCAGAAGGGGCTCTACAAGGCAAAGGAGCCTACGGGAGGGGGCTGATTCCCTGCTCCCAGCCAGCCTACCCATCTTCCCCTAGCTCTGTGCATACCTGGCCTCCTCCTGACTCCTCCTCTGCATCCTGAGCTCCTGGTATCGCCAGATAGGGAGGGCCAGCCTGCGATGCCCAGCAGGCCTGAGCTCTGGTTTGCATTGTCTGGGAGATGAGGGCGCCTTGGAGAGGAGGATCTTGGGGACTTGGAGCTTGGGACTGGTACTGTCCCTAGGCTGTAACCATTGAGAGCACATGCTCAACACACTCTGAGGACTCTGGTAAGGGGTGAGATCCTGGGGGCCAGGGACTACCTGTAGGGGCTGGGGTACCAGAGGAGGGGGAGGAGCAGTGCCTAGCAGCTCTGGCACAGACTTGCTTCGGGTTCCCAGTGCAGGTGGGCGGTCAGGACACAGAGTGTGGCAGGCAGTGGTGAGGAAGGGACTGGCTAGGCTGGTCGTGATGGTCACAAGGTGGTCGAGGACACCTCCTTCCTGAGGAGACTGAACAAAGAGGAGGCTCAAGGAGGCCTGTAATCTCTCTAGGATAGATGGGGCAACGTGGCCCTTGGCCTGGGCCACGAGCCTGGGCAAGGCTGGCCACTCCGGTTGGTAATGCTGGCTGAGCTGCTCCACGTGGGGCCGCCGCAGCAGCCGCCAGATCCTCTGCACCGTGTCGAAGCTGTCGGTCAGCATCGCCCACTCCAGGGCAGTCTTGCCCCGAACAGGATCTACTGCTGTCAGATCAGCACCTGGGAGGGGGCACAGGGGTGATGTAGGCTGGGACAGGGATAGGTGATTTGCAGAAGGGCAAATTCTTTAGCAGCAGGGCCGATTTGGGTTAAATTCAAAACCAGAGTCCCACCCATCTTGTTACAGCTGGAATCTGGGAGCCCTCAGTGACTGCAGCCCAGGGACAGGACCAGTCCCAGATTCCAACCTCCTGTTTGAGATTGGTGAAGAAAAATAAATTACAGAGAGGGGAAAAGACTTCAGAGAAACATGGAACAGAATAGGGACCCCTGAACCAAGGAACTGGCCAGAGGGGTGGTATGCAGGTTGCCCAAGACTGGGGATGCCCAAGCTGCACCTTCTGGGGTAGGCGGGGG